GGGGGGAAAAACCCCCCCCCCCCCCCCCCCCCCCCCCCCAAGATGAAGCGTTTGTGGAAGCAGAACTACGACTATTCAATTTTTCGTTCTTAGTGGTAGGCCGCAAGTGTTTTTTCCCAGCGGTGTGATAATACTTGGGATCCTGTGGTGCCATCGAAGCCCGTTCCGGGCGAGCGTGAAAGTGAACGTTTTCCTCTGAAGCGGGACACGTTGCATGCGTGATCTAGCTTTTGCATGATGGCACGCTATGGATACGATGGACCGTGGGTTGGTTTCAACGCTTCAACTTATTGCCAGGGCGTGGTAGCCACACGCTGGACTTGCTTGCCTCCTTTTTTCTTTGCATCTGTGATGTAGGAGCGAGAGGGAAGGGAACGTCGGAGAATAAAATTGGTTTGACCATTGGTTTCCGGGGTTAATCTCTCATGGATGGGCATAATGGACCCATATTTTCTTGCGTCACCGATGAAAACTACAACCTATTTTGGAGATGGTTGTTTGTGTCATCCGCACTCTCGCGTTCCGCGAAGCCTCAAGACAACCCTGCGTATATCGGTGCTTAGAGTTGCGGTCAGCGGTAGCAGATTCATTGGCGTAAGTGCACGCGCGGTTGGGTCTGGTTGTCGATGTAGGATGTCTGTGGCAGAAGCGCTGCCGTCCACGGAATAAATAGCTCTCCCGAGAGTTGAGGATCTTGGTTCCCGATCCGTCTCTCTCGTCCGCCGAAACAAATAAAAGTGCGGGAGTGGCGGCCATGAGCACTAAGCGCCAGAACAACAAGGACGTGATTGCGGGGCGATCGGTGCCGGTTAACCTGGGCGAAGAACTGCACGGGAGCCTGCGGCAGCTCAAGGCGCAGGGGAGCGTTCTTCACGACAAGGTAGTCTTGCCTGTCGAACGTACTTAACAGTACGTTGGTTTTGCTTTGGAGTTTAACCGTGCTCTGCATATTTGCAGGTGTATGACACATTACAAGTCAACCCGCTAGATGGAGCATCAAGCGACATTTTTGCACAACAGGGACATGCCAGTACTATGTTGCCAGACGAGAAAGACCGGCGGTGTGGTGAATTTTTCCCCTTGGCTGGGTGGTGATGCTGTTTCCATGTTAACGGTTGTCCTCACATCATGTTGCCCGCTGGTATTTCTTGGTAGATTGTCACATTGGCAAAAACCCGTGACCACCAAACCGGGAGCAAAGAACGTCGCGGCTATCTTGATCGGTCTTTGCTTGAGGCGTTACGATGCTGCAGCTCTGATGTTTGGTGCGCTGCAATGGTCGTAGCGTGTGTCCCTCAGAAAGAAAGCGGGCCGAGGAAAGACCACACGAACACGAAATGGTAACCCCCCCCTGCCTGTTTCCTAGTATAATAGTACCGGCGACCACGCCAGCTGACCAATGAGCAATCAGTAAAGTCAGGGAGGTAAGCCTCAACGGTGACGCCCAGAATGCCAAGAGCTGACCCGGTGACGTAGCCGTTGCGAGAGACGCTCGTCATTGCTGCGCTCACACTCTCGCCAGAAGCTAAATACACGTACGGAGTGCATTTCTTGTCATCCCCCATGCCCCCAAATCGTCCTTGAGGTCTTCGTCGACTATCCACATGAACAGAACACTTTTGCTGAACCCCCAGCAGAGGTGTCCAGAACAGTCTCCTCTTCGATGCAGTCCATCAGCGAGCGCATCTGCACAAGTTTGCTACTTTCCGCCAAGTAAACAGAAGTACTATATTGGCAACCATCACTGATTCCGAGTTTGATCGATCCGATCGACTGGATAAACCGGCTTCGATGCAAGCCCCAAAGCGTTAACATTATTTTGTACCCTCTCCGATGACCTTTCGTTGAAGCATTTTGAGGATCAACAGCACAAGACTTGGCCATGTCGATTTTTGGCGATTCTTGGTATCGGAAATACTCTCACTCTGTATGGCGGCCTTTTTCTCCCTTGTCGGTCCGTTCAGAGTTTCCTCCGCTGTTTTATTTTTTCGCGATATGCATACAGTATGGCCCCCCAGTCCAGAAATGTTTTGTCAAGAAACAGAGCATCAACTTTTCACGGAAACTTTGAAAAAAGGGTGGAGGAACGGAGCTCAGCGGTTGATCCTAATCCAAACTCTCTCTATTATAACACCCGGTGCTTCACAGTGGCGATGAAAACATGAAACCGAGCCTCGATCGTATGTACGTTGATTGCCACCCCCGTTGCAGGTTGAGCTTCTCAAGGCCAACAAGGCGCACCCTGACCGCAGGCGCGGAAAGGAGCGAGCGAAGAAGGCGCCCAAGGGCTTCAAGAAGAAACACACGTACAAGGACCGTTACAAAGACGACTGACTGATCGGGCGCTTATGGAGGCGACAATGTTTGCGTACACCCGGGTGTGTTGGACGTTAGTAAGATGGAGCGGTTGCTTCCCACGGGCGGGGGTAGGGCATGTTTTGAGGTCTGTGCATCGATCTCCGACAGGCCAATGGTACGTGCAAGGGACCATTACCATTCATTGGGAGGTCGAATCGATGCCAAAATACCGTAGTTATCACCAGGATATTGTGTGTAAAGCAATTACCTGCATGGATAATTTGATATTTTGCCTCCGACGGACGCTTTTCACTCGATCACAGCATGAGCTGGGACTCACTATTTGGACGTCATGTTTGACAAATGTGATGAGGCGATGGCGAGAGAACCCATCGGGCTTGAGGACAAGCACATCAGCTTACGCATACGAGGGTCTTGCCGAGTGGTAAACGTAGGAGGATCAGATCTATTTTGGAAGAGAAGACTCCAATGGTTAGGACCGGGACCGGCCACATGAATTTCACAGGGGTGTTACGGAGGTGCTATCGCGGGCGAGGAACGCTCAGCAGCAGTGAGTGTGGGTGCATGGTGTACAATAGTCCATAGCGAGAGGGTTATTGCCGTAGTGGAACCGTTTTCATTTCATTTCACATGCTACGGGTGACGGACGCTTGAGTCACCCGCGTCGTTTGCGGTTGGTGTCTGTCGCGTTAGCCTACCTAATAGGGCTGGCAAGGGCGGTGGCGTATGCATACGTCCGGCAACAGTATGGTAGTTGGTGAAGGTACATCGTATGCATACCATGGAGACCTGTCTGTTGTGTCCCCGACCAAGAATATGGTTGCTCTGCGCTTGATTTTCGAAAAACAGTTTCTGGACGAATCTGAAGCCCGTTGCAGTTGCGCATGTACAACAAGTTGTATGCTACAGCTGTTCTGCGTATGCATATGCACAACAAGTTGTTACAGCTGTACACAACTTCAGTAGACTATGTGTGAAACACGTTGGACAAACAAGCCTTGCCATATGGTGGTTGCATGTCAGCATCATCGTTCCGGTTCTGCTCACAGCAGTACCTTCTGCATCTGCAACGAACGGTCCAACGGACCCAGTAAAAGTAGGATTTTCTAGTGTAGACCTACACAAGTATGCAAACGAACAGGTGCTCCCCCCATATAGTTGTGAAGAGTCTTGCACTAGTACCATGATGCCGTTGCATTTCTGCATCGCATGCTGTCATGCTGTCGCTCCCCATGGAGGACAAACAAGAATAGAGCCTTGGGCACATCATCGGTAAGAAGTTCTTGATGAACGAGGGTCGTGTGTGGATCTAAGTAAACGCGTGCTGGATTGCTTCCTTTTTCCGGCCATCCTGCAGTGTACGGACCCAGTATTTTTGTTTGTGTTGTAATACTACGCAAGGCTAGTCTAGTTGTTTTCATCCGGATTCGTAATCCAAAAAACATCACAAATCGGATCGGCAAATATCCGGCTTCTTATATGTAATCCGCAAATAAACCTAAAAACAATGAATTATATCAAACACCCCCATTTATTTATATATATGCCTGCCCAAAACCAAAAACATTCCCCAAACCTTAAACCAATTAATTAAACCAAACACCCCATAATAAGGGTCGGTCTTAACGAAGAAATCAGATCTCGAAATCACATTTCGATATAAGAATAAAAGAGTGGGATCTACCCAAATCCGGACGGAAATGGCCTGTGTGTCTTAACGGGAGATCTGCCAAATGTAAACGAATCAGAGGTCCGCCGCTTGCCCAACTGCCAGATTGCTGTTGTGACGTACTGCTATGACGTGGCCACACCACATGGGGAGCTATCGCTCCCGAGAAGCACACACCAAACGCGTACATGGCCTCAGTGCGGTTCTGACACGATGTCTATGCATGTGGCACTTTGAATCGACCCTCGTCCGACGGAAAGACGCCAATTCGTCTGTGCATTTGAAGTTCGACAACCCACGGGAGATTGCCCCACAGACCAACACATCCCACACACGGTTTTTTTCGGGACCAGTCACGTGCAACAACGATGCGCTGTCACCCTCCCTTTGGGTTGGCTTTTTGCGCTCTTTCTTTCTCTGTGCTCGGCGGTGGATGGAGTTCGTGTGGATGGGGGTAGGTGGGCACGCGCCGTGTATGCGAGTAGACCGTGGTCCCGCAACTATGGACGCTGTTCACCCAAATCGGGATCCGATTAAATGATTTCACCTTATTTATTACGGTGTTTGCGAAGTTGAAATTTCAGTTTCATCTTGGTCTTTTTGATCCTCCCGAGCGCCGAAGACCGATGGATCTTTAGGAATTCAATCTTTTGCTTTATGGAATTGCCCCCAAAGACCGCAGGAAAGCTTGAATTCAGTCTTGCTCATTTTGGTCTTTGAAGGAACAATTTTTGATTGGCCTACACACCCCGAGATACTCCCGACGTCCTCCCGACACCGCCGCACCATCCCGTGGAGCTGCCCAAACACACACACCTTGGCCGCCGTAGACGACACCATGCATGGCGAACCAACTACAAACAGCAGCAGTGCCGCCAGACCACAGACGGTCAGACAAACGTCGCTGCACCGCACACCCAGTGCGCATTGCATGCTGCCGACATGGTGCAACTTTTGCTTCATCTTAAATGTTCATGCGTGGACAGAAGCATGCCGCTCTACATGCATGCATGCTCATAATAAGTGACACATCAAGCCGCGGCGTGAGGAGGGTGAGGCGGTGAGGCGGGCGGCATAGATCTCAGGAGTGCGGCACAGGTGGTGGAGGCGGAGGTGATGGAGATGGGGATGCTTCAAGCGGCGTGGGGGCGTGAGGAGCTGCAGCGCGTGCGTCCTGTGGACCGTGCTGTGGTGATTTGTTTGACAGGAAACGATCGACTCCGTCGACCACTGACTGCGATATGTATCACAACTTGTTCGCGTGCTGAAGGGGTACGTACACACATACATGCATGCCTCCGCTTTTTGCGGCGCTACGCTTCCCATGCACTCCCGGTAACTGAACTGGGCCAACCGCCTGCTCATGAATTAGTACGTTGCTCCATCAGTACATGATGACTGGGGGTGGGTGAGGGTGCAGTGATAGTGGAGTAGTAGTAGCCTTGTTGGGGGTGAAAGCGGAAGCTCGGAAATAAATATGTTTGGTGTTCCGAGTCGGCTCAACCATCTATCTGTCTGTGCCGTCGGCAAAGGGGCTCCGTCGTATTGAACGCAACGTTCTAGGAAATTTCCGCATGTTCAAGACTGAAATATTGCGCTCCGGTCTTCGCAAGCTATTTTTGAAACCAAAATTCAATCTTGGGCCGGAATTCCTTCAAACTTCCAAGACTGAAATGGGAGACCATTTCGCAAACACCCTATTCTAATCCCGATTTGGTTTTGGGTCGTCCTGTTTTAAGTCCTGAAGATTCGACGGGTTCCATAACATTTCAGCCAATCAACGAAAGAGTTCTGTGGATCTTCCGGTCTTATAACCAAATGTGAATGTGATTTCGAGATCTGATTTCTTCGTTAAGACCGACCCTAATACCGTGCACCAAAGGACCACACTTGAAGATTAACCCGTCACAAGTTCAAATATAAAAAGTTGTGCCGGCCGGAGATTATCATACAGTCTAGTCTGCGTCAGTAAAACCACCAATTTGGTCTGCGCCAAAAGGAAAAGAATGGGCATAGTGTAGGCAAAAAAATAGGTACTGTAGGTAGGCACAAAGACAGTGCATTCTAATCAAAATCCTGCCGCCTGCCGAACCTCGCTTGCTTCCGGATCGACAACAACAACAGACCTGCTGCTGCCTATGGCACAGCACGGCGTGCTTCCACGTACGTACGCACGCACGCATCGCGTGTCTTTCCTGTTTGAAGGCACACACATTTGTTTCTCCGCGAGCGAGTGGTGATACAACAGCACGTAAGTTGCTCTTCCATGGATACGGTTGTATAAGAATCGCTCCCATATCTTTTCCCGCTAGGATTTATTTTTCGCCGTTTCGTCACACCGTCACACACGAAATCCAATCCGTTCAAAAAGTATCAAAGGAGAGCGGGCCTCGGATTGGAGGTAGCTCTGCAGCGCAGGGCAGTTTATACAAGAACCAACCTAGCAGGAGATCCCGCAACTTTGTGCATATATATATGTATACGTAGATGCGCCCTAAGTTAACGTCTACCGGTACGTGAATAGTTCCGTTTTTGCGGTGTGTCGTTTTGCTTCGTCAACCATAGACTGCCACACAACAAATTCATCTCGTACCTTGCCTCCACAGATATGTTTCCGCCCGGGATATGTCAATCTTATTAGGAAAAATAAATACACACACAGAAAGACTACCCGTTCGAGATGTACGAGATAGATGTACTTCAAGCGGACACTACTACTACTACTATATATAATCCCGACAGCTGTTCGGAGGCCATCTTGTGTATCTGATTCTGTATATGTTGCTGGGTGCAAAGGAAGATGTTGGACAGATGTTGTGCGGCGGGCATTACACTTGTACTTGTTGAAGGTTTGAAACATGCCGAGCGCTTTGACCTCATTCATAGTAAGTATTGTACGTTCTCTGCCGCGGTATCTACTCCGTTCATGCAGTAGACCATCTTCCTTTCATCGGATATACTACAAATAAACAACAGCAGCAGGTACCCCAGCCACATCACAAACATATTTTTCGTGATGAGCTGTGGTACACTGCAAATACAACGAGCGGCGAAGGCCAGGTTCGGAGATGATACCTGTTTTTCGACCCAACGAATATCCATCCTGTCCTGTTTTTAATTTGTTGCAGAATAACAAGATCTTCATATCTATGTATCTTGCTTGTCCCTACGTTTTTTTTGTCGTTTTTTTTTTTTTGCGGGCAAGAAACAAATTAATCTTCTGTTGGCATCTATCTCTTCCTGTCTCCTAACTACTGTATGTAGTACACCCACGGCGGCGGGAAGAGAGCGAGAGACCCTCACCTACACCCCTGTGGGATAACCCGTGTTTGAACTCGCAGGTTGGGAGGGAACAAACGGGGGGGCTGTGGGGGAGGGTGGGGAGGGAGCCTGCGGTCTCCTCGCAGAAAGCTCAGCGGCACCCGAAGTCTCTCCAAACAGCAGACGCAGCGCGAACCTTGTGGTTTTTCAACATGGTGCCAAGCGGACTGATCTCGGGTGTTGGAGGCCGTTTGCTTTCAACCACCAGCAGCGGAACTTATGACGACGATGATGTCTGGACACCCCTCCGAAGCTGGGACTTCTTGCATTTAGGTGCGTGCCTCTGTTGTTACGATTCGCTCGCTGCGTCGAACTGGAAAATTGTGAAACTACGTATGCAGACTATCTATGCATACAGAGCGCAGATATATATCCGCTCGGTTACTCACACTTTTTTTGTCAGCAGTGTCTACGCGTTTCACTATCTCCGAAGGACGCCATATATCGCATTTCTCATACAGCGGGAGCGTCTCGCCAGATCGCTGCAGCACATCTATCTCTTGACCGTTCGTCATATAGCGGGAAGAAAGGTGGGGGGTATGAGGGAAACATG